TGCGGCTGGCTGTATCTTATTGTGTTGTGGGCTGACCTGCGGCTGCATTCGTTTGTTGTGTCTGACCTGCGGCTGCATCTGCTGTGTTGTGTCTGACCTGCGGCTGTATCTGCTGTGGCAGGTCTGACCTGGTGGCTGTATCTGCTGTGGTTGTGGCCCGACCTGCGGCTGTATCTGCTGTGCTGTGTCTGACCTGCGGCTGTATCTGCTGTGGGTTAGGTCTCACCTGCGGCTGTATCTGCTGTGGTTAGGCCCAGACCTGGTGGAAGCGGCCCAAGGTGGTTGTGTCTGACCTGCGGCTGTATCTGCTGTGTTGTGTCTGACCTGCGGCTGCATCTATTAGTTGTGTCTGGACCTGCGGCTGTATCTGGCTGTGTTGGTGGCCTGGACCTGCGGCTGTATCTGCCAGGCAGGGTTCGACCTGCAGCTGTATCTGCTGTGTTGTTCTGACCCGCGTGGCTGTATCTGCTGTGTTGTGTCTGGACCGCGGCTGCATTCTGCTGGTGGGCAGGGGTTCCTGACCCCCTGCGGGCCGCTGTATCTGCTAAAGTTGTGGGTCTGACCCGCGGCCGTATCTGCTGCTAAAGTTAGTCTGACCCGCGGCCGTATCTAGTGTGTTGTGTCTGTACTGCGGCTGTATCTGCTGTGTTGGGTTCGACTGCGGCTGTATCTAGTGTGTTGCGTCTGGACTGCGGCTGGCTGGGCTGTATCTAGTGTGTTGTGTCTGGACTGCGGCCGTATCTAGTGTGTTGTGTCTTGGCCTGCGGCTGTATCTAGTGTGTGTTGTGTCTGGACCGCGGGGTTGTATTCAGTGTTGAGTCTGGACTGCATGCTGTATCTAGTGTGTTGGGGTCTGGACCTGCGGCTGTATCTAGTGTGTTGTGTCTGGATCTGCGGTCATTGCATCTAGTGTGTGTTGTGTCAAGACTGCGGCTGTATCTAGTGTGTTGTGTCTGGACTGCGGCTGTATCTAGTGTGTTGTGTCTGACCCGCGGCTGTATCTAGTGTGTTGTGTCTGACCTGGCGGCTGTATCTAGGTGTGTTGTGTCTGGACTGGTGGCTGTATTCCGTGTGTTGAGTCTGGACTGCGGCTTATCTAGTGTGTTGCGTCTGGACTGCGGCTGTATCTAGTGTGTTGTGTCTGGACCTGCGGCTGTATCTAGTGTGTTGTGTCTGACCTGCGGCTGTATTCTAGTGTGTTGGGGAAGCCCTGGTACTGGTGGGCTGTATCTAGTGTGTTGTGTCTGGACTGCGGCTGTATCTAGTGTGTTGTGTCTGGACTGCGGCTGTATTCAGGTGTGTTGGTGTCTGGACTGTGGCTGTATCTAGTGTGTTGTGTGTGGGACTGCGGCTGTATTCAGTGTGTGTTGTGTCTGTACTGCGGCTGTATTCTAGTTTGTTGTGTCTGTACTGCGGCTGTATCTAGTGTGTTGTGTCTGACCAGGCTGCATTCAGTGTGTTGTGTGTGGACTGCGGCTGCATCTAGTGTGTTGTGTCTGTACTCTTTTGCTGTATCTAGTGTGTTGTGTGTGGACTGGTGGCTGTATCTAGTGTGTTGTGTCTGGACCGGGTGGCTGTATCTAGTGTGTTGTGTCTGGACTGCAGGTGTATCTAGTGTGTTGTGTGTGGACTGTGGCTGTATCTAGTGTGTTGTCTGGACTGGCAGGTGTATCTAGTGTGTGTTGTGTCTGACCGTGGTTATATCTAGTGTGTTGTGTCTGGACTGGTATGTATCTAGTGTGTTGTGTCTGTGCCTGTGGCTGTATCTAGTGTGTGTTGTGTCTGGACTGGTGGCTGTATCTAGTGTGTTGTGTCTGGTACTGTGGCTGTATCTAGTGTGTTGTGTCTGGACTGCAGCTGGGCCCAGTGTGTTGTGTCTGGACTGCGGCTGTATTCTAGTGTGTTGTGTCTGGACTGTGGCTGTATCTAGTGTGTTGTGTCTGGACTGCGGCTGTATCTAGTGTGTTGTGTCTGGACTGGTGGCTGTATCTAGTGTGTTGTGTCTGGACTGTGGCTGTATCTATGTGTTGCGTCTGGACTGGTGGCTGTATCTAGTGTGTTGTGTCTGGACTGGTGGCTGTATCTAGGTGTGTTAAAATCTGGACTGCGGCTGTATCTTAGTGTGGTTGTGTCTGGACTGCGGCTGTATCTAGTGTAAGCCAGTCTGTACTGCGGCTGCATAGTGTGTTGTGTCTGGACTGTGGCTGTATCTAGTGTGTTGTGTCTGACTGCGCTGGTATCTAGTGTGTTGTGTCTGACTGCGGCTGTCTAGTGTGTTGTGTCTGGACCGGCGTCTTTGTATCTAGTGTGTTGTGTCTGGACTGTGGCTGCATTCAGTGTGTGTTGTGTCTGGACTGCGGCTGTATCTAGTGTAAGTTGTGGGTCTGGACTGCGTCTGTATCTAGTGTGTGTTGTGGGTCTGGATCTGTGTGGGCTAGATTCAGTGTGTTGTGCCTGACTGGTATTGCATTCAGTGTGTTGTGTCTGGACTGTGGCTGTATCTAGTGTGTGGGTTGTGTCTGGACTGTGGCTGTATCTTAGTGTGTTGTGTCTGGACTGGTGGCTGTATCTAGTGTGTTGTGTCTGACTGCGTCTGTATCTAGGTGTGGCGTAAGCAGTCTGACCGTGGCTGTATCTAGTGTGTTGTGTCTGGACTGCGGCTGTATCTAGGTGTGTGTTGGGCTGTACTGCGGCTGTATCTAGTGTGTTGTGCTGTCTGACTGCGGCTGTATCTAGTGTGTTGTGTCTGGACTGCGGCTGTATCTAGTGCGTATGTTGTGTCTGGACTGGCTGTATTCAGTGTGTTGTGTCTGGACTGTGGCTGTATCTAGTGTGTTGTGTCTGGACTGCGGCTGCATTCAGTGTGTTGTGTCTGGACCGGTGTCTGTATCTAGTGTGTTGTGTCTGGACTGTGGCTGTATCTAGTGTGTTGTGTCTGACTGCGGCTGTATTCTTAGTGTGTTGTGTCTGTACTGCGGCTGTATTCTGTGTGGTTGTGTCTTGGACTGGCGGCTGCATTCAGTGTGTTAAAGTCTGGACTGCGGCTTATCTAGTGTGTTGTGTCTGGACTGGTATGTATTCGCGTGTGTTGTGTCTGGACTGCGTCTGTATCTAGTGTGTTGTGTCTGACTGTGGCTGCATCTAGTGTGTTGTGTCTGACCGCGTCTGGTATCTAGTGTGTTGTGTCTGACCTGCGGCTGTATCTAGTGTGTTGTGTCTGACCATGGCTGTATCTAGTGTGTTGTGTCTGTACTGCGGCTGTATCTAGTGTGTTGTGGGTCTGACCGCGGCTGTATCTAGTGTGTTGTGTCTGGACTGTATGTATCTAGTGTGTTGTGTCTGGACTGCGGCGAGTATTTCTAGGGGTGTGTTGTGTCTGACTGTGGCTGTATTCCAGTGTGTTGTGTTTGGACTGTGGCTGTATCTAGTGTGTTGTGGGGTCTGGACCGGCGGCTGTATCTAGTGTGTTGTGTTTGGACTGTGGCTGTATTCTAGTGTGTTGTGTCTGGACTGCGGCTGTATCTAGTGTGTTGTGTCTGAATTGTGGCTGTATTCCAGTGTGTTGTGTCTGGACTGCAGGTATTCCAGTGTGTTGTGTCTGGACTGTGGCTGTATCTAGTGTGTTGTGTCTGGACCGCAGGTGTATCTAGTGTGTTGTGTCTGACTGCGGTTATATTCAGTGTGTTGTGTCTGGACTGTGGCTGTATCTAGTGTGGTTGTGTCTGTACTGTATTGTATCTAGTGTGTTGTGTCTGGACTGCGGCTGTATCTAGTGTGTTGTGTCTGTACTGTGGCTGTATCTAGTGTGTTGTGTCTGGACTGGCGGCTGTATCTAGTGTGTTGTGTCTGGACTGCGGCTGTATCTAGTGTGTTGTGTCTGGACTACTGTGGCTGTATCTAGTGTGTTGTGTCTGACCCGTGGCTGTATCTGCTGTGTTGTCTCTGACCTGGTGGCTGTATCTGCTGTGTTGTGTCTGGACTGCAGCTGTATCTAGTGTGTTGGGGTTCGACCTGCGGCTGTATCTGCTGTGGGTTGTGTCTGACCTGCGGCTGTATCTAGTGTGTTGTGTCTGACCTGCGGCTGTATCTGCTGTGTTGTGTCTGACCTGCGGCTGTATCTGCTGTGTTGTGTCTGGACCTGCGGCTGCATCTGCTGTGTTGTGTCTGACCTGCGGCTGTATCTGCTGTTGTGTCTGACCTGCGGCTGTATCTGCTGTGTTGTGTCTGGACCTGCGGCTGTATCTAGTGTGTTGTGTCTGACCCGGCGGGCTGTATTCGTGTTGTGGGTCTGACCTGGCGGCTGCATTCTGCTGTGTTGTGTCTGACCTGCGGCTGTATCTGCTGTGTTGTGTCTTTTTGGACTGGCGGCTGTATCTTAGTGTGTTGTGTCTGACCCGCGGCTGCATCTGCTGTGGGGCGTTGCAGGGTCTGGACTGCGGCTTATCTAGTGTGTTGCAGTCTGACCCGCGGCTGTATCTGCTGTGTTGTGTTCCGGACTGCGGCTGTATTCAGTGTGTTGTGTCTGACCTGCGGCTGTATCTGCTGTGTTGTGTCTGACCTGCGGCTGTATCTGCTGTGTTGTGTCTGACCCGCGGCTGTATTCGTGTTGTGTCTGACCTGCGGCTGTATCTGCTGTGTTGTGTTCCGGACCCGCGGCTGTATCTAGTGTGTTAGGCCCGACCTGCGGCTGTATCTGCTGTGTTGTGTCTGACCTGCGGCTGTATTCGTTGTGTCCTGACCTGCGGCTGTATCTGCTGTGTTGCGGGTCTGGACTGCGGCTGTATCTAGTGTGTTGTCTGACCTGCGGCTGTATCTAGTGTGTTGTGTCTGGGCTGCGGCTGTATCTAGTGTGTTGTGTCTGACCGCGGCTGTATCTAGTGTGTGTTGTGGTCTGACCTGCGGCTGTATCTTGCTGTGTTGTGGCTCCGGACTGGCATGTATCTATAGTGTGTTGTGTCTGACCTGGTGGCTGTATTTCCGCTGTGTTGTGCTGGACTGCGGCTGTATCTAGTGTGTTGTGGGGTTCCGACCTGGCGGCTGTATCTGCTGGGGTTGTGTCTGACCTGCGGCTGTATCTGGTTGTGTTGTGTCTTGACCTGGGGCTGTATTCCGTTGTGGTTGTGTCTGACCTGCGGCTGTATTTGCTGTGTTGTGTCTGACCTGCGGCTGTATTTGCTGTGTTGTGTCTGACCTTGGCGGCTGTATCTCCTGTGTTGTGTCTGGACTATGGCTGTATCTGCTGTGTTGTGTCTGACCTGCGGCTGTATCTGCTGTGGTTGTGTCTGGACCTGCGGCTGTATTCTGCTGTGTTGTGGTCTGACCTGCGGCCAGGTATCTGGTTGTGGTTAGGTCTGACCTGGTGGCTGTATCTGTTGTGTTGTGTCTGACCTGCGGGCTGTATCTGCTGTGTTGTGCTCCGGACTGCGGCTCTATCTGCTGTGTTGTGTCTGGACCTGCGGCTGTGGCTTCAGTGTGTTGTGTCTTGACCTGCGGCTG